CAGACACAAGGTCCATATAGAGTACAGTCATACATTGATAACTAATGGCAAAAAAAATTAATAGAAAAAATAATTAAAACTAATAATAATAATAATAATAATAAAAAAAACAACATAAACATAATTTCCAACCTCATAACAACTAAACAAAATATACTATTAACATTGCATATAGTAGTCAAGTAATTGATCCTTAACCTTACGTTTGCTCAAATCATCATGAAAAATGTCAATTTTATTTTGAATACAATTCCATAATTTGAAAGAATTTAACATTGGCGAGTTGTAATGGTGAAAAGTGTTTGGGATGTTATAGAAGAAGGTAAGTGGCGATCTGCTTACAGCCCTAGGGACAACTATTTTTATTTGATTAAGTAAATATTCACTCCTAATTGAGCCATTAACTATTTTTTGAATGAACACTAAACTAGCCACATTTCTTCTACTCACCAAAGACCTTTCATTAACTAAATTAAGAAGCACATTTTGATTACAATGTAGAACTGGATATTGTCCGAACATTTTAAAAAATAAAAATTTGCAATATTTGCGTAAGACATTTTCAAGTAGTGTAACATACATTTGTTGTGCAGGACTCCATATACTACTGCAATATTCAAGTTTGGTCCTAACTAAGCTATTAAACAATAACCTTATGGAGAATATATTACGAAAATCTGAACTGTTATGTATTATAAAACCTAACAATTTTAAAGCACTATTTGTAATATATTCAATGTGCGGTACAAATGATAATTTTGTATCAATGATAACACCTAGATCCCTAAATTGATTACAACGTTCCAAAACATTACCATTTATATTGTAATTGTAATTAATTAGGTTTGTTTTCCTGGTTATCGACATAATCTTACATTTTGATTTATTAATGACAAGACAGTTTAGTGAGCAATATTTAACAAAGGAGTCAATGCTTTCTTGCAAATCATAACAGTCAGACGATGAATTTATAAACTTAATGAGCTTCAAGTCATCAGCGTATACAAAAAATTTGGAGTTGATGTATTCAGAAATGTCGTTAAAAAATATAATGAATAAAAGCGGTCCTAGATTTGACCCTTGCGCTACTCCACTATTACAACTAAATTCACGCGATTTGTAACCATTATATTCCACGTACTGGAATCTGTTCATAACCATGGCTTTTAACAATGAAACTAAGCTGGCACAAAAACCAAATCTCTGCAGTTTTTTCAGTAGAATACAATGGTGGACTTTATCAAAAGCTTTAGTTAAATCGGTGTAAATCACATCAACTTGTAACCTATTATCCAGTGCTTGAGATACCAACTGAGTAAATTCAAATAAATTAGTTGATGTTGATTTACCCTTAATAAAGCCGTGTTGATCCTTCGAAATAAGATTAACTACATGTGCATATATGACATTGGATAAGATACTTTCAAACAATTTAGCAAAATTTGATAATATAGCTATAGGTCTGTAATTATTAATATCGAACTTATCACCATTTTTGAAAACTGGACAGACTCTGGATACTAACCAGCTAGTGGGATATACAGATGTTTTTATGATTAAATTAAAAATATGAAGAAGAGGTACTAAGAAACAACTAATACAGTCAGATACAATAAATGCAGGAACCCGGTCAGACCTGCAATGTTATTAGACTTAATTCTTTTAACGGCCTTAACAACGTCAGACTCATTTATTTTAAAAGGATGTAGAACAGAAGAAGATTCACAGCTAGATTTCAATTGTAAAGATGGGCAGCACCTTTTATCACAGAATTCACAACGAATATTATCACAATACTGACCACATATATGATTATCACTAGAACTAAATACCCCAGCAAATAGGTGACCAAAGGCGTCAACGATGTCTTGCGACGATGTGAATGTGTTACCATCAGAAATCATATTTCCAGGGATCCTACTTTGATTTTTCTTATTAGTAACAAACGCCCAAAAATTTTTTGGATTATCTTTAATGGAATGTTCAGCATTTTTTAAAAACGAAGAATATGCATTACGTATATCATACTTAATTTTTCGCCTCAGTTCTTTGTGTTTGTCTAAGTGATTAATTATACCAGTTTTCTTGTACTTATTCCAGTGATATCGCCTTTGTTTGATTGTATCGATTATAGATTTAGTGAACCATATAGGATAGTTATGTCGTTTTGAATGGCCACTACTTAATGGTACAAACTGTGAGAACAAATCAAACAATACATCATAAAAATATATAGTTGCAAGCCGTATCAACTTGTTTAATTTCTTCTATTTTAGACCACTCAAACGTCGATATTGATGAATAGAGGCCAACTAAATCAGCTTTCTTAAAATTAAAATAGAATGAATTTGGGTTATTCCGAAAATATGAGCTTTCAACTAGTTTAACTGTAATATTTATACTTAAGCAGGGATGATGTAAATCTTCACGAACTAATGGGAACTCCTCTTTGGAAATGTCAGTGATAACATCCTTGGTTGACACAACCAAATCAAGTAAACGTGCATTGTGATTCAGAATTGTATTCCGCTGGGTGAGGCCATTAAGGCTGAGAAAGTGCTTAAAAATATTGAAAAGATACGACATTCCCATACCATTTAAGCAGTCAACAAATTCAGGGATATTAAAGTCACCTGTTATAAGTACTGGGTGCGTAAAGGCAATAGTTGCTTCCAAATATTCTAATAGACGATGATATATATTGTGTACAAGTTCTGGTGGGATATATAGCGATGCAATTACGAAGCTCTGTAAACCGCTAGATATTTTTACAGCAACTAACTCTATTTCCGGAATAGGTGATTTAGAAATAACACAGCATGCCGAATATTTATCCTTAATAGCTATAAGGACACCTCCCCCTCTTGATGTTAATCTATCGCAGCGAAATACGTTGTATCCCATAGGAAAAAGCTCAGAATTAGCAACTCCTTCATGCAACCATGTTTCACTTAACAGTACTATGTCAGCATCACTTGCACAAATATTCATATAAAATTCATTTACCTTTGAGTTGAGTCCACGAACATTTTGATAAATTATATTGAGATTAGTTGAGGTGACTTGGTCAATAATAATTATCCGTTGGGATGTTATTGGTTTTTTTTTATATTAGGCATACCGTTGCGATATTTCAGTGTGATGTCATTCTCTCCTGCTGCAATCCTTCTCTTGAATTCATTGCGAATGCTGTAAGCCTTCTTTTGCTGCATCGGAGTCAGATCTCTGTTGATAAATATTTTATCAGAAGTCCTATAGTTAACAATGACATTACGAGCAATACTAGACGATGAGAAAACCACACGAATGGGACGTATTTTTTGATTCGAAAATTTACCAATACGATGATGCTTAACAATATCAGAGGAAACAATACTGTTGTTGTTAAGTACTTTTTTTATTTTATTAAGATCATCAGCTACTTTGCCATCCATTAAATTTTCCTCTGATTCAGGCAAGTTGCTTATTATTATATTATTGGCACGAGTTTGTCTCTCCTCGAGTTCATTGAACAGCATTTCTTCATCAATAAGAGTTTGCGATAACAACTTACTATCATTTTTTGGTATCTGTTTTATTTCGGCGATTTCTGTTTTTAGAGCTGTAATTTCGGCTTGTAGCGTATGTACAACTTCCACAATATTACACTTTTTGCAGAAAAAGTGTATTTTACGATTAACACTACGAAGACACCCAATTTCTTGACGAGATAGTCCATAACAAGCTTCATGTAATACATCTTTACAGATGTCACAAACTACTTTGTCTTCTTCTTCTGGATTCTGGATTCTTAAATTATGGGGGCTGACCGTAGCCAGCCGGCACTTAGGCCTCGCCTTTGGGCCCATTGTACCTTCCCCTTCTTCTTCTTTAATAACAATATTACATGTGTTACAAACTGGTTGAGGCATTATGTTTTATTGTATACCACTTCAATCAGAAACTTTAGTTAAACCTAGAACGAAAGTATAATTATAATTTAATAAAGTTCAAGGGTAACTGGCAGATTAAAAAAATATGTATGTTTTCTAAACACAATGTTTGCCGGGAAGCAGGGATCCATAAATAAAAGATTAACGATGGGTTTGAGAAGATAATTTTCATCACGTCCGTATGGTCAATCTCTAAGTACAGGTAGTAGGTAAACGTACCTGTTTTGCTGGTTGCCTATCTCCAGAAAATGTGTCGTGGACAAGATCTATCTACTAGGTGACGTCAGACACTTTTTTAGTTTCGTACATGGTACAGGAAGACATGGTATGATATTGCACATTTTGTGTGACGTCAGGTGGCTGTTATGACCGTTAACTTTAAATTCTGGCTTGTTGCATGTTCGTATTACCACTATCAACGAACGATGCCAAATTTTGAAAGCATGTTATTACTTATTAGCATCGCGAGAGTAATACAAGCAAAATCAAAGGCAGCCAGGATTTTTGAAAATTTGTCAATTTGAAAAACTGACAATAGAACTAATAACTTAAAATGTATATGCTGTGTATAAAAAGAAATAATTCTTTTATGTAACGGGTGTTCAATTGACAAATCAATTAGAGTAGGCTTACTCCGTAAAATATCGTTTGACACAAACAGCATGCCTGTTCTTATAACATATAGCATGCTAGAGGTTATGTTTCTGTCAAATGGATGTTATAAGAACTGACATGCCGTTTGTGTGAAGCGAAATTCCAACGCTTTCTCTAAATGATTTTTCAGTTGTACACACATTACCAATCGGTGTCCAAAAACGATATTCAAAACTTGACTACTTTTTAGTTTTAGTTAGCAAGTAAATTTAATCCCTAAAGCAAAAACAGCGAATTTTGAAACATACTTTTGTTGTAAAACTTATTATGATTTTCTACTCCCACATTCTTTATTAGGTAACAACCTGTCAAGTGTTCAATTAATCATTTTTATTGTTAAGATCGAAACTTGGTCCGTTTTGTAAATTAATCTGCAATAATTAATTAATAGTTGAACAAGATAAAACAAGAGTGTAATTATAATAAATTTAATAAACATGGCCGTACAGTTGTTACTAATATTAGAAAAATTGTACATATGTAACTATATTAAAAACAGATATTTCTCGAACATGCTTTTTAGCATAATTCTACCACTAAGTTAAGATATATATATATATATATATATATTTTACATTTTCACTAGGACACTTTTTACATATATATTTGACTTTCTTCTGGACTAGACTGATGGGACGTTTTGACTATAGGTTCTCCTTCGATTCCTGCAAAGATATAGGAGTATTTATTAATAGACTCCAGTTTTTACAAACTATTATTAATAGAAATGACAAGTTGGTAATAAAGAGTAAAATAGTATTTTTTTTTAATTTGAACATAAAAACATATACCTCTGCCAATTTCCAAAAATCCGTAATATTTTTCATGCGAAGACGATTCCCAACGCGGAAGCCAAGTAGAAAGATCATGTATTATTTTGGTGATCTTTCCGAACTTCTTCATCAGAAAATTTGTCCAGACCAAGCCTCAAACATTATGTTGTGCACTTGTCACGTTCAAATCAAAAAACATTTGTCATGGTTTTCGAAGACGATTGTGATTCTTTCCAAATCTTCATCAGAAAATTTGTTTATACCAAACCCCAAATCTTACGTTGTGCAGTTGTCAGTGTCCAAAAATACTTCAAAAAACATTTGTAGCTGTTGCTGAAATTTAATTTTTTTTTTATTAGATTGTTGAATACTTCTTCTAAAACTTACGTTTTAGAATTGTTCCCTTTCTTCGGAAGAAAAAATATTCGTCCAAATCCCCGTTGAGACGATGTTTCTTCTTTTTTGGTTGAAGATTAAAATACCTAGATAAGAGGCAGGGCGGTTTTTCAAAGTCATGAGGACATGACTGGATGTTTATGAACTCTGTGAGAAATGTCGCTGATTGCTTAAAATTGGGTCGCTAATTGCTATATGGCTCCTAAGTACTTGGTCAATTTCGGGTAATTTGTCTGGCACTGAAAAACTGCACATATATAATGAAATGATATAAAAATAGACTCACTATTATTATTAGTATTTAAAAAATGCGAGCACAAAGTATCTTCAAAAACACTAAGCAAAAATAATGGCAGATTTTACTTACACATAGTAAAGAATTATCGAAACATTTTGGTAATTTTGTATTCGAACTATAATCCTTACATCAATGTATCGAATTTTGATATTTGTGAGAGTTTTCTCAAAAATTCCGATTAATACATCCAACTTTGTTAGAATGCTAAAACCAAAGTGTGAGTGGTGGGAATTTTCGATTTATTTTGTTACCTTCGTTATTTCGCATCAATGTGTTGGATTTCGTGATATTTACACCCAGAAACATAGACCATATAACTAAAGTGAATAATTTCTTTGCAACTAATAATTTAAGCTGTCCTGGAAGAAAGGGTACTGAAAATTAAATTTTAATTTATTTTGTTTTCACAACAGACAACGTACCTAAAATGATTTCCATTTCTTAGTGCTGGTATTGTCATTTCCTTCTTTTCAATAATTTTCTTACAAATCGATTCAGCAAATTTGTAGATAATACTAAACGGTAACATTCATCGCGTTCTTTTTATTCATTAATAGAGAAAACACAATTATTATGTACGCTTTTTACAAAAATTTAGTTTTATCGGTGATTGTAAGTGACATTAATAACTTTTCCATGTTTTTTTGTTTAAAATCAAAAATTAAGGTGTATTTAAATTTAACATTTATAGCTACAGAGATGATAATCGATTACAATTTTTTGTTGGAGTTACAAATTAGGGAATATCACTCGTGACCAGAAGACCAAGCAAACGTGATGAAGTGATGTAGAAGAATTTTCAGTAAGTAAGTATAACGTTTTATTTGTCAGGTAACGTCGAAACTTATAATCAAGGATAATGGAATGAGTGAATATATATTTGTCTGGGTAGAAGATACGTTTGAGTCGTATAATATGTCCCAAATATTTAAATTAGTGCTATTTGATTTCAAAATAAAACATATACCTATTATTGTTTCCGCGTAACAATTATTTAATTAAAAATCTCTAAACTGCAGTTTTTTTTAAAATTCCTTAGGATATAACTAGGTTAGTTTTTTGGACACTGTTTTTCATACCTCGTCCAGTTTAATGAGAAAAACAAGCAACATTCTGTTTACTACATTACAATGCATCTGCACAGTTTGGGGAAGTTTTTTTTCTTACGATTCTTTGTAAAGGAATGATGCCCGATTTGAGCGCCGGCTCTTATTAAACATTCGACAATTTTTGCGTGACCTGCTGCGGAAGCTATGTCAAGTGGTGTTCGACCGTCATTCAGTGCGCGATTGATTTCGGCACCGACTGTCACCAAGTTTCCGACAACTTTTTCATGACCGTTTTGTGAAGCTATGTAAAGTGGTGTCGCACCGTTATTAGTAGCGCGATTGATTTCGGCGCCGACTGTCGCCAAGTATTCGACAACTTTGACGTGGCCCATTGCGGAAGCTATGTAAAGTGGTGTTTGACCGTCATTCTGAGCGCGATTGATTTCGGCGCCGACTGTCGCCAAGTATTCGACAACTTTTTCATGACCCTTAAAGGAAGCTATGTGAAGAGGTGTCCAACCGTTTTTATCAGCGCGATTGATTTCGGCGCCGACTGTCGCCAAGTATTCGACAACTTTGTCGTGGCCCTTTGCGGAAGCTATGTAAAGTGGTGTTTGACCGTCATTAGTAGCGCGATTGATTTCGGCGCCGACTGTCGCCAAGTATTCGACAACTTTTTCATGACCCTTAAAGGAAGCTATGTGAAGAGGTGTCCAGCCGTCATTATCAGCGCGATTGATTTCGGCGCCGACTGTCGTCAAGTATTCGACAACTTTTTCGTGACCTTCTTGTGAAGCTACGTAAAGTGGTGTCTCACCGTAATTCACAGCGCTATTGATTTCGGCGCCGACTGTCGCCAAGTATTCGACAACTTTTTCATGACCCTTAAAGGAAGCTTTCTGAAGAGGTGTCCAGCCGTCATTATCAGTGCGATTGATTTCGGCGCCGACTGTCGCCAAGTATTCGACGACTTTTTCGTGACCCATTGTAGAAGCTATGTAAAGCGCTGCCCAACCGTTTTTATCAGCGCGATTGATTTCGGCGCCGACTGTGGCCAAGTATTCAACAATTTTTTCATGACCCTTAAAGGAAGCTGCGTGAAGAGGTGTCCAACCGTTTTTATCAGCGCGATTGATTTCGGCACCGACTGTCGCCAAGTATTCGACGACTTTTTCGTGACCCATTTTAGAAGCTATGTAAAGCGCTGTCCAACCGTTTTTATCAGCGCGATTGATTTCGGCGCCAACTGTCGCCAAGTATTCGACAACTTTTTCATCACCGTTAAAGGAAGCTGCGTGAAGAGGTGTCCAGCCGTTATTATTAGCGCGATTGATTTCGGCACCGACTGTTGCCAAGTATTCGACGACTTTTTCGTGACCCATTGTAGAAGCTATGTAAAGCGCTGCCCAACCGTTTTTATCAGCGCGATTGATTTCGGCGCCAACTGTCGCCAAGTATTCGACAACTTTTTCATGACCGTTAAAGGAAGCTGCGTGAAGAGGTATCCAGCCGTTATTATTAGCGCGATTGATTTCGGCGCCCCCTGTCGCCAAGTATTCGACAACTTTTTCGTGACCGTTTTGAGAAGCGATGTAAAGCGGTGCTTCATTGAATTTATTAACACAATTGATATCGACACCAGATTTTACAAAACAGTCAACGATTTTTAAATTACCGTTTTCGCAGGCCAGTCCGAGAGGTGTTTTAGCATTTTCTGCAGTAACAATTTCCACTTCACTCAAAAAATTATTCAACTCTTCTACTGTGAGGTGTTTACACACGTCGTCATAACCCAGTAAAGCAGAATAATATATAACATTAATTATGTCATCGCGAGATTGTCTCAACTCATCCTTTTTTGTTTGTAATAATTGTATTTGTGCTCCTAGGCTCTCACTTTTTCGGGCATAAGCCAAAGGAGTCGCATCTAACAACATATCACGTTCGCCAACCTCATTCGTACTTTGCAAATACGTCATCGTTTCAAAGTATATTTCGTTTTCCGCTTTTTTATTGAAATTGCTATTTTCGTGCACAATACACTTGTGCTTTACGTGCGTTACCTTTACACGCGGATGTCTTTGCCCCCATGACGAAATCAAATGTAAAACACTTCGTCCACCTTTATCTTTGCAATTCAAAATTTCGTCGTCGTACGTTTTAAGTAACTCGTAACGTTTGTACAATACGGCAATGTGAGCTTTCGAGTTTTTAGCCAACAATATGTCAAAAAAGAATCGAACGTTATTATACCTTGCGTCAAACAACAAGTCCGCAATTGTGTCTTTAAAATTATTAATATTTTTTGAAAAGTATCTAGCAACTAGATACTCTGCAAATGAACTGTGCACAAAACGTGGAACATCATTTTGAAAGTCATTTATAAGACCCAGAGAGGCATAATTTCGTAAAAGTTTTTGTACACTTTTTTCGTAATCAATATTCATTCGCTGCGTAATTTCTTCGTCAAATATTACTCTAAAGGACACACGTTCGTAATATTCTGCAGCCTTTCGGTTTTTTTCACAGACTATAACTTCCATTTGGGGATTTCCTAAATCGTATCCAATTTTGTTTTTGTAAAAGTTATTAAATTTTTCCTGAATAAAATATTCGTAAAGGTCAGTCAAGACGAATGTGTTATCCATAAGTTTCAAATATTTTTCGTTATTTTCACGGAACAGTTCGGTAAGCATGAATATTTGAAGAGGGATGCCTAGTATGTCTATGTGTTCTACAATCGCAAAAGATGATTTGATTTTTTCCAGCGTTACGTCAATACTGTGACATTCTAGACGTTTTCTGATATATTTTTCTTGTTCTTGTTCGTTAAATTGATTTATACTAAGTGACAACAAATTGAATTTATTTTCTAGAGTTGATTTTAAATGTCGTCTGCTTGTAACCCACTGACGGAACCCTTTTGTTGAAAAATGGAGGATTATATTTAAAGCGGCATCTAAATTATCATTTAAGATTTCATCGATTGCGTCCCACACGTAAATTACATTGTTTTTCTTGATACACATTTCGAAAAACATTAGGTCGAGTTTATTAAGCGACTCATATTTTTTATTTGTGATGAATTTTACAAATAAATCTGAACAATTATCTGTTTTAGAGAAATTGGGTTTGTGAAAAAATAAATTAACGTCCTTGGGACTAATCAAAACCGTCCAGTATTCGCGAGAACATGTATTTTTTAAGCTTTTCACTAACTCGGTTTTACCCATTCCTGGATCTCCGGTTATAAGATTGATGTTATAATCTAACCGAGAAGGCCACAAGGCATTTTCTTCTGTAGGATATGCGTCAGGCAATTTGTACGCCTCTAGATCACTAACATCACCTTTGCTACAAAGCCATTCTAAATTTCCGTCACTCAAAATTTTAAAATAATGAAACTGTTTTGTTGTTTTGTGCTCATTATAAATTTGTTGAATTTCAGAATCATTATAGTGTCTAGTACCAACGTAGACTTTGTTGGTAAAACTTGATTTATCAAATATAAATTTATATTTGTTTTCGTTAAGATTAGAATTTATGTCACTTTTTTTCCTGTTACCTACGTAATTTTTGTCAGCAAAGTTCGGTTCATTAACGTTAAACTTAGTATTTGTTAGATATTCGCCATTGTGATTGTCTTTCTGTAAGAAGTTATTAATGTCAATTAATTCACATTTGGCGAGTTTGCTTTTAACTTTATCTAAATTATTCCCACAATTTAAGATAATAATTGTGTTTTCGTGAACTTTTTCTAAATATGTATTTTCAACGACATTTCGCGAAATATAGCGGTCTATATAAGGTTCGGCTAGTGTTTCCTTTGTTCCTCCTATACAACATGTACCGTTCAGCATTTCCACGAGGTGATCAGTTCTAACATTTTTGAAAAAATCTTCATTACTTCCAAAAGATGTTACAAGATCAAGTTCGCCCTTTCCTTGAATCGAAATGGTAAAATTTTGCATTATATTTTTATGGATTTCGGGATGCAAATTCAAATCGGACAGATTTTGGAACACGGAATTTTTCATCCATTCCTCATCTTTAGTTCCGCCAACCAAAACAAATTTTTTGTCGGGGCACAGCTGTATTATATTTTTCATCTTTTCCCATTCACGTAAAATTAATGGACATTCGTCCATTAGCCACAGCAGTTGAGTGAACGCTTTTGGATCTATGGTGCCGATGTCGGTGTCATTAATATGTCCGAGAATAGGTAGATATCTTCTTCTAATTTTATTTAATTCCTTAAAGTCAATAGTTTTTTCCTTTCCGACATCACCCCACAGTTGCTTAACCGTTTCGACCGATTCCTCTTCAATCACTGTGACATCAAAGAAGGAAATTGCTTCCCGAAAAATTTTCATTTTGTCATTAACTGGACCGAAAGATAGAGACTCAGTGTGAGAGGACAGAAGGTGCAGCGCAAGTACCAGCTGCGTCCACTTTTTATCTATCTTTTCTTTATTCCCATCTTGGGCGTTCCATTTAGAAACTGTTTTCAGGAATTTACCGAATGTTTCGTCATCTGAACAATACGTTGCCTTGAATTTGTTAGCGGTTATTTTTTCCAGAGTATCACAATTTTCTTGGTTGGAATAGAGAAAAAACTTGCGAAAAAAATCCTGATATTCTTGAATTCTAGGAATATTCTCTACTGTCGATTGATCATCTACTATTTCAAACTGATAGACGTGACTAATATTTTCTGAAATGTCTGAGTTAACTTCTCTTTTAATAAGCTTGACGTAAAATTCTTCGCTGTCAAGGTGGAATGTTGCGTTCTCGGGAGGATTTAACGGCCTATTGGTAAACAAAATTAACTCATCCATATTTTTCTTAACTTCTTTGTAACTTTTAAAGTATTTGCTAATACTGAAGTTTCCTTTTACGGTTCGCAAATTTTCTAGAGTGAGTACTTTCCTCTCGGTGTGTTTTAACTGCACCGCTTTAACCTGAATGTCGTTTTCCTTATCCGATGCAAGTTTAATAACCAGATCATCAAACGCCCCAAACTCATCATCGTTTGATGAAATCTGGAACGTTTTTACTCTGGGGTTGTTTAATAGTCTTAGTACAACATTGGCGAGGACCACATCTTCATAGTCTCTGCCTTTATCAGTTGTTCCTGGCCTTTTTTTAAAAGTCTGGAAAGGAATAGACGAACAACCGCTTTGAAAAGTAATTCAGTAATTGTTGTGTTTGTAATGAACAATAAAATTATGAACTGTAATAGTATTTTTTTTCAAATCAGGTAATGTACTTGTTAATACTGCTTATAGAAAAACTGATCGAAGGTTATTTCGACGAAACTTCCCTCGCCACTAAAGTACAACCAAGCATATCCAGCTTTTTCAAAAAATTATAAGCTTTAATCTTGCAAAAGTAAAAGACTTACCGACTCCATTCCTCTCAGGCGGCCACAACATACAAAGTGACGTGGTTCTGTACAAATAAGTAATGATTTATTTGAAAACTTCCATAATTCTCACACGAAATCCCACTTGTCACACAATTTCCTCAACGTAACAATAAGGGGCGATAATTTCAAATTAATGTTACACTACAACAAAATAGATTTTCTTACATCAGATTTACAGACTGTGTGACCACAGACTTACCTACTTCACGGTTTCCAATCTCTGTGGTGTTACACTAAATTTTTATACGTTAAATATTTAATACTTTTACGCTCTTTGTCGTCCGAACGTACTCGTGCTTTTTAAACATTCTTCCACCCACATTAAACCATTTTGAAATTCACACACTTTACTAACGAATGTTCTACACGACAATGTTTTCTTTGAATCAGACGAGAATTGGACAAACTTATTTTGTTGCTACGTTTTAAGGACATTTTTTACGGATGCTCGGTTATCCGTATGATAAGATTGTGGTATGAGAAAACCTGTGAGAAGTTAAAATGTCGCTGACTCACCACTCGGGCGTTTCCATTTCATTTCATATTTCAAAAAACGGTCGAAAGTTGTTCCGACAGAACTTCCCTCGCTCCTGAAGTACAATGAAACACATCCAGCATTTTCGAGTTGAGTTTCTTTCTTACACATTTTTCTCGATTCAGATGCAAATTATATTTACGTAATCGTTCAAGGACTTTAATTAAACGAAATTTACATTCTTCAATAGAAGAACCTTGAACCATTACATCATCAAGATATGTTGTGGTACAAATCGTGAACAATTTTGATACCAAAGAAGAATCGTTTAGCTAAATAGGTACCTCGATGAGTTGAAATTGTCCGTATTCGTGCACTTGCATCATCAACAGGAACATGTAAATATGCTAATGTACAGAAATATTTGCCATTTTTCATTTTATTGAAAATATCTTCTATTCTGGGAATAGGATAACGATTATCTTGAAGTTTATTGTTCATAGTTACTTTGTAATCAGCACTCAGTCTAATGTCATCATCCTTCTTCGGCACAATAACCAAAGGTGTTCCCCACTCGGAGTGATAAGTTTTCTTAATAATACCTTGATTTTCTAAGTCATCTAGTTCCTGTTCAACCTTCTCTTGGAGAGCGTGAGGAACTCGGCGAGGCTTTATAAAAATTGGTCGTGCATTAGCTCGAAGAGATAAAGAGCATTGATAGTTTGGAATTTCACCAACTTTTGGTTGAAAAACCTCGCTGAATTGATTGAAAATTTCTGACATTAATGGTTGAAAAGTAGAAATAGAATAAAAGTCATGAAGACTTATCTGGAGGTTTCGAATCCATCTTCTTCCCATAATGGCTATACCATAATCAGAAACGACAAATAAATCTCCCATGAACTTCTTCTTTTTATATGTAACAGGTATTCTTATGTAACCCAGAAGTTTAAATATTTGTTTTGTATAGGAACGAAATTGAATGTTTATACTTCGAAGAGTCACTTTAAAATTCAATGCATCGAAGATTTTCTTTGAAATGATGTTGACTGGATTGCCGGTATCACACTCAAATTTAACTGGTTTGCCGAGACTTTGTACCGTAATGAACATTCTTGGTTCATAAGCTGACGAAGTAGGTACTATTGAAAATGTCGATAATATTATTTATGTATTGGAAATTCTTCATCAACAGAGGAATTTGAACCGATGTCGACGTTTTTGACAGTTCGTCGATTTTTTTGAAGCAATGGAGAAATACATACTTTATTTGTGTGCCCTTTTTTCCTACAGAGTTTACAGTGAAGTTTTTCTTTGATGCGACAGTTGTCAGTTTGATGATTCTTTTTGCCACAATTTAAGCACAATCCGGATAGATCCAATTCTTGTAAATTTATGGTTCGACCTGTTATTTTTTAAGATTTTTGACGTGAAGATCCATTTTGATTATATTTTGATGCTGATTCTCCTTTAAGAGTAAAACCAATTTTATGAACATTATTTGACCCATGTAATAATAATAGTTTATTTCCCTACAGGTTACACCCAATTACAGGAAAATATACAATACTTAAGATTAAGGCAAACGGCGTGAAATTAAAGACAATAATAATACTAAAAATTAGGCTTATTCTAAATACTTAATAACATAATCTGAAATCTCTTTAAATGGTGTAAAATGAAGATCACATTCATTAGCTATTTGATTAAAATGCTCACACATAACACTTACCGGTGAATTGTTTGATACATTTGTTCGGCCTATTTTGGGGTAAAATGTAATATGTTGGCGGGAATTATGTCTAGGTACCGCAAAGTTTAATTTTGATAAAAGCAGAGAGCTATCAATGATGTTATTAACTAGTTTGTATAAAAAGTGAAGGCTTAAAATAATTCTTCTAGTTGATAATAAATTCACATTAAATCTTCTTAGTAACATATGATGGTCACAGCCTCTTTCAGGATATCTACCGTCAAGGAGAAAACTTACGAATTTTAAAAATTTTCTTTGAACAGACTCGATATGCCAACTATGAGTCTCATAAATAGGGAACCAAATAAGACTACCGTACTCTAATTTTGACCTTACAAGACTACAATATAAAGTAATAAGGGATTTCACGTTCGTAAAATCTCTACAATTTCTGTATAATATAAAGCCATAGTTTACAAATGCTTTTCTGACAATGTCATTCACGTGATTGACAAAAGTGAGTTTTTCATCAAACAAAATACCTAAGTCTTTAAACTCAGTAGTTCGTGTCAAGTTAGTGCCATTTATATTGTATGAAAATTCAATAAACTTTTTCTTATTTGAAAATGACATAACTTTGCATTTATCTAAGTTTAAAGCTAGACAATTTAGGGTGCACCATTTATATAAATTACGTAAATTGTTTTGTAGTAGTAGACAATCATTTAGACTGTCTATCCTGTGGAATATTTTAAAGTCATCTGCGAATAATAACTTTTCACTGAAGATCTCATTTGGTAAGTCATTTATAAACAATAGAAAAAGAAGCGGACCTAAGTTGGAGCCTTGTGGTACACCTGAATTAGGGGTAAAAGTTTGAGAGGTATAATTTCTATATCTGAGACAATTTATTCTGCCGCGAAGATAAGATTTTAACAAAAGTATTAGTGATTCAGAAAAGCCAATTAATTTTAGTTTATGTAATAATATGAAATGATCTATTGTATCAAATGCTTTAGTGAAATCCGTAAATATCACATCAACTTGACTTTTTCCATCTATAGCTTCAGAGACATATTGCGTAAAGTAGGCTAAGTTGGTAATGGTGGATCGTTTTTCTACAAAACCGTGTTGATATGGTGATATTGAATGTTTCAGTGTAGAATATATTTGTTTATAAATGGTTGATTCAAAAACTTTTGAGAAATTGCATAGTAATGCTATTGGACGATAGTTTTCAATCTTGGCTGGATTATCCTTCTTAAATACAGGTGCAATACAAGCTTGTTTCCAAACAGAGGGAAAATGAGATGTTTTTATAATTAGATTAAATATGGAATGCAATGGTTTTGCAAATATTGCAGCACAATCTTTTAAAAGAAAATTTGGAATTTCATCTGGACCTGCTGTTAAGTTATTTTTAGTCCTTTTTAAAGTATTTAGTATTTCCTCCTCACTTATATACTTTACATTAACATAATCGTTTGATACATTTTGTATCATCTGCGTATGTTTACAACTAATGTTTGAATTAATAAATGTACTACAGAAGTAATCACAAAAAGCATCAACTATTGTGGTAGGAGTTGATACTTTAACATTCTTGTAGCTTAGTTCACTTGGTATTCTAGTCTTGTTTTTTTGTTCTGCAGAAAAGACCAAAATTTTTTAGGATTAGTACTGACAGAATTTTCTACCTCTAATACATAATTTTTGTAAGATTGCTCAATAAGATTCTTGCTCATTGTACGGTATTGTTTAAATATTTCGTAATGATGCTCGGAAGGACAGTCTTTGTAATTTTTATGAGCAATAAACTTTAATTTCAGGCAATGTCTAACTTCACTACTGTACCAAACGGGATAAGCCGCTTTTTGGGACGAATATCTGCGAAACTTTGGAGTTGTTGTTGCAATAATTTCATCAAGTATACTGTAGAAAGCATTGCAGGCGTTTTCGACATCTGTTGCTAAATATACAGAGGTCCAATCAGCATTAGATAACATATGATACATAAGTGGAAAGTTGGATTTCTTAAAATTATATTGATCTGTTGAATTGTCAATAGGAAAATTTTTAATGCGGCGAATAATTTCTGTACATTTGATATTTAATGTGGGATGATGTAAATCTTCATTGACTAACGACCAGTCAGATCTATTAACATGACACTGTATATTAGAGAAAACTAAATCTAAAATATGCCCATACGAATTGACTATTTTATTGTGTTGTTTGATATCATTTAGATAACTGAAGTTGATTAAAGCTTGAACATTACTGTTCATTAAGTTGAGACAATAATTGGGGGTATTAAAATCGCCGAGTAATAAGACTTTATCTGCGTTATTATTACAATAAAGCTGAAGTAAATCAAGAAATGTTTCAAAATTGGAAGAAGATGTCGATGGTGGAATGTAAACAACGAAGATGTATAATTTCTTGTTGTTAAAGCAAGTAACTTTAATTCCTACGATATCTATAGTTGGCACTTCGTTAGTAATAAATGAAAGATCTAGTTGTGCTGTTGTATAACGAATGTCAATAGCTAAAAGAACTCCACCTCCCTTACTTACTCCACCATCTTCAACATTTCTATCCTTGCGATAAACAGCATAATTATTGGGAAAAATTTCGGCATCAAAAATATCCTTAGTTAGCCATGTCTCTGAGATTGCAATGAGATCCGTATTAGACGTTAAAACAGAATTGAAAAATTATATAGTCTTAGTTCGTAGGCCTCTAACATTCTGGTATATACAACTTAGCTGACAATTGTAATTAGGTGAATTATTCAGTTTAAATGAACTATTTTCGGTACTCCATTGAAGTGGCGTATTCTTAAATTATTTTCGTCTTTCGCAATTCTCTCTGTTAACTGTTGTTTTAGCAATTTATAGTATTCCAGTTGTTTGGGTGTGCGATCGAGTGACAAAGAAACCATATTGAATTCCGCCTTAGATTTAAGATTTTTACCGTTCCGAAGAATGTCAGATATCTCAGTGCAGTTGTCAAAAGTGACTTTAATTGGCCTAGCCCTAGTGTTGTCTAAGTTGTAACGTCCCAGTCGTTGAATTTTTATCACTTTAGTTTGCAATGAGGGTTTAACTAAATGCAAAACGTTATTAGTTACTAAATTATCTTGTTCCGTGCGTTGAGTATTATCAAGAGAGTTGTCTTGTTCAGGAATTCCAAATATTATGATATTATTTTGTCGCTTTTGTCTTTCTATGACTTCCTGGATAATCTCTTCCGTTTGAACGACAGGCGAGAGGGG